TTTTCAAGTGGTTCAGATGGTCTTCTTGAAAAGAAAAAAGAACACAAAAAATACCAAAGGAGGTGGGTTGAAAGTCAAGGACTGCCCTTCCCCTAAATAGGTGACCCCTCTCTTATATTTGCTTCAGCCCTAAAGAGGGAACATGTTTTCCCCTGTTTCTTGCCACAGCTGTACAGTGCAGTTCAGCATCTCAAAAGTCACCCGTGAGTTTGAAAATAGGCAGCAAACAGGAAAATCACTTTAGTTCAAACAATGTTTTAAAAGCTAATTTTTAAAAAAGAGGAACCCCTTGATAGAGAGCTCAAGCAAAAAAAAAAAAAAAAGAGGAGGTGTGTTTTATGGATGTAAGGGGTGGCAATAGGAGAATTAAACACCTCTCTGTTGTGCCTGAATGTTTTCTGATGCACTGGTTTGAAGTGACACTTAAAAATGTAACAGACAGAGTTCCTTTAGTTTTGCTTTTCTGTATCTTTCTTTGCTCAACGGCTACATCTTCTGACTGCATCCCAAGGATTCTCCATTTGCAAGCTCCAGTTAATGACTGGGGAAGCTGGTGGTTGGGACAGAAGGCACAGTAACCAATGGTGAGCAAAGCAAAGGTCGGTATTCATGCACAAACACATACAGGCAGGTACATTCACAAAAACACACAGGCCAGCTGGCCAGCAAGGAAGCAAACCAACATGCACACGTACACAAATACAGTCGTGCCCCACTTAAAGATTACCCCGTATAACGACGAATCCACTTCACGACGATGTTTTTGCGATCACAATTGCGATCGCAAAATGATGTTTTACGAAGATCAAAACAGCCGATCGTTGGGTTTTCAAAATGGCCACCGGCTGCTCAAAATGGCTCCCCGTTGTTTTTAGGAGGCATTTTTCGCAAGACAGGCACCCGAAAATGGCCACCGTATGGAGGATCTTCGCTGGACGAGCAGGTATTCAGCCCATTGGAACGCATTGAACGGTTTTCAGTGCATTTCAATGGGCTTTTTTATTTCGCTTGACGACGTTTTTGCTCTACAGCAATTTCGCTGGAACAAATTAACGTCGTCAAGCGAGGCATCACTGTACAGACACCTTCTGCCTCTGCCATGGAGTCAGATATACTGGAATGGTAAGGTTAGGTAGAGATAAGTACCCTACCTGCCTGCCATTAAGACAAGCAGTGCCACATTTGTCTGAATAGACGAGCCATTATTAGTTTTACACCAAACCAAACCTGGAGCCTTATTCTCCAGCTGTTGGCTTTAGATGACCCAGGTTAGCTGTAGCTCTCCTTGAAAGTGTGGCCGTTTGGGAGCAGGAGCTTTATCGGGCCTTGAAAGGAAGACCAAGTGGCTTGGTTATTTAGAACTGCATTCCTCTACCAAATATGTGTCTGCATATTTGAAATGCATGAAGGCAGTGGACGTGGTAGAGCTGCTGGAAGAAGAGAGCTAAGCAAAAGGCACACAATAGGACAGATGGGGGGCGAGATAAAAGTCCAATTTACAGCTGGAGCCTACTTTTTACAATTTGGCATGTACATATTGAAACATATTAAAATCACCCTTCATCCATACGGCTGCGAGGGTGGTGTACAAGTAGAGCTAAATCCATAAAACAATTAAGGTCATAACATCCGAAGAGAGGAAGGCAGCAGCAGGGCCATAGAACAGATGAAGTCAGCTAATTTTAAAATGCCTTGGAAGATAAAGAGTTGAGCTCACACCAGAACCACTATAATGTTGGCACCAGTTGCGGCTATCATGGGCACAATCAGGGTGCCACAACTAATAAAGCTCTCTCTGATCTCCATATGTAGAATATACTAGGTGTTTCATAGGATCCTTCTTGATTCTCTTAACACTGGGGCAGGGTGGCATTTGCTAATTCAGATATATGGGTCCAAAGCCATTTAGTGCTCTGAAGGGTGAGCAGCAACATCCTTGAATTTGCTTCAGAGGTAGACAGGCTTCACAGCAAACATTGGGAAAAGCTGCACAGGAGAAGACAAACTTTCATTGGAATGTGCCACTTCAAAATATAGTTTGGGGCTTTGCGTAATTGAATGTTCCTTCACATAAATGCAAAAAGACATACAATCCTATACATACCAAACTTACATCTCAGTAGAAAGCAGGGTTACAATCTCCACGTGTCGGAGTGAGCTCCCGTCGCTTGTCCCAGCTTCTGCCAACCTAGCTGTTCGAAAGCATGTAAAAATGCGAGTAGCTAAATAGGTACCACTACGGTGGGAAGGTAACGGTGTGTCTAGTTGCACTGGCCACGTGACCACGGAAACTGTCTACAGACAAACGCTGGCTCTACGGCTTGGAAATGGGGATGAGCACCGTGCCCTAGAGTTGGACACAACTGGACTAAATGTCAAGGGGAACCTTTATCTTTTACCTAAGCACTGGAAGAGAGATGCAGTAAATGGTGTATTTGAGCACACTTAAACAAGAGTCCTGCTCATATTCACCTGGGAGTAAGTGCCCACTGAACACTGAGGACTTAATTCTACATGGACATGTGCCAGATTGTATTAACAGAATGCTGTGTTCAGGTTTCATGGAATGTTTGCCTTACAGAACATTCTGTTAACTTCCATGTTAAGATTTAAAGTAGTCTGGCTATGACACAGAACTTGCGATTGTAAAAATTATTTGTGGTTCTAAGAATTTGCTCCTGGTCTAAACAGGTAAAAGACTGTAGGATCTCTGAGAACAGCTGCTTACTTTTTCTGACCTTGTGTGTTTGGTGCCATCGGCGGTTAGTTAGTTATTTTAAAGGCCAACATTTCTGCATCAAGGTATTAAGTCCTTCCTGTGGTCTTCCCGGAGGCATCTGGCTGACCCCAGTGGGAAGACACATGGGGAGCTAGAGACATTCCTAGTGTGACTTCGTTGGGTTGCTTTGATGGCTTCATGTTGATTATGAAGATGGTGGTCATAGGAGTTGCGGTCTAAAAAAGCTGGGAGCTGTACATATTCTTAAAATCGGAAGAGGGGATGAAAATTGACAGTGGTCAGAAATCCTGTTCTGGTTGTACAAGGCAGGTGTTTTAGGCTGTTAAACTTTGCACAAAGGCCTTACAACTGATTTGAAAGCTGAATCCTGTCTTCTGGAGATCTCAGACAGCACCGATAGAGAAAACCCTATTTTTGGGAGAGATAGCGGGCATCTGATGAGGTCAAGGGCACAAAAGCAACCTTGGGGTGGAAATGTTCATTTTTTCTACCGTCCTCTAAGCTGATGAAGTAATAATGTTTATAGAGGTTCCCAATCTTAGTTAGCTTTTAAATTGTGCCATAACACAATCACACAATCACAGCTTTTGTTATGGGCTGTTGCTGTTGGTTCTGTCCCTTAGGCAACTTTTTAAAAACCTTTTTACACATCCAATGCTTGTGTGTGTGTGTGTATGTGTGTGTGTGTGTGTGTGTGTGTGTGTGTGTGTGTGTGTGTGTGTGAGCCCTTGGGTGTGTCTCGTCTCTCAAAATGGTCTATGTCAAAATTACTAACAGTTATAAATGGTTGTGGGCGTTGCTCCTGTTATTGTAAACATTATTTTGAGAGTGCGAAAGAACCTTGCAGCTCATAATTACCACATTACAGTTACCTTTGCTTCACAATAAAGAATAAGAAGAATAAGGTTTAGAAAGCCTGTTTGGGAAGTTAAGACAGGGGAAAAAATATAAGTAAATGGCACATTTTCTTTGGAAAGGAGAATTTTTCAAAAGGCTCTCGGAAGAGAATGCTAAATTCTGCAGACATAATTCTGACACATATTTCTTTCCAAACCCAGGGAGAAGGCTGCCGTGCGGTTCCTCTTTCTGGCCATGTTGGATTTGACAGCTTGCCCGACCAGCTGGTTAATAAATCAGTTAGCCATGGTTTCGCTTTCAACATCCTGTGTGTGGGTGAGTTCTTCCTTTTTCCCCCCTCCCCATTTCTATTTCTATTTCTGGATAATTCTTTCAGGGAAGAGGGCCTGTTTATATCCCGCTGAGCATCCCATTTAAGTAAACAGGACTAACAAAGTCCCCCTTTCTCTGGAAGACTCATTCTGGGCCATCATCCGACCCAGTTTTCCAACAGATACATAAGACTCTTTGGGTGGTCTGAAGAGGTTAAGATGGAAAGAGCTCTCTGAACTGTTCTGCTGGTCCTGAGTGAGGACTGGAAGCAAAGTGGGCGAGCCTGTCAGCCCTTAGGAAGATTATCTGAGCTATGCGGTGCTACCTGTGCTGAGCTTTTTCTTGAGAAACGACCTGGGCGCTAGCTGTGGGGGTCGGAAAGAAAACAAACCTGGTTTCTCTTCAGGCGTGTTGCAGTTTTTGTGAACTGGGTGTGTTTTGTTGAAAGTCAATTTGTAGAGACCAGAGGAGGGTGAGCACAGGAGCAGTGGCCTCTAATTTTTTGCTTTCTCAGTTTTCTAGTTTTCTGTTTGGTTTGGGGTTGGGGCCATTTCCAAAAAAACTTTTGTGGAAACTTTTACACATTTTTTTTTCTGTGCAGTCCTTATGCATGCATTTTTAACATAGTTATGCTCGATACATACAACGGAGAGATTTATCTCCTCATGTTCTGTGAAGGGGAATTCAAAGTGTATTTTTTTTAAAAAAATCAGAATTAGGAATATTTAAAATAAGGATGGGCAATATACAGCAGCCCCACACATACGGTGATGCCTTGCAGGACGAATGTCTTGCGCAACAAAAACTCGCAAGATGAAAGTGTTTTGCGATTTTTTTGGGTGACTCACAAGACAAATTTTTCTATGCCCATGCTTCGCAAGATGAATAGGAATGCATTAATTAAATTTCAATGTATTCCTATGGGAAACCGTCCTTCGCAAGATGAATTTTTTGCAATATGAAATGACTAGCGGAACGAATTATTTTCGTCTTGCGAGGCATCACTGTATATGGAAAGCTCATGCACCCCCACACTCTGGCTGTTCTAAACATTTTTAAAAATAGGCTCAAAAAGTACCAGGTTCCCTCTGGAGGGTAACTTTGCCATTTTGATAAGGTGTCTCGAATCCCTGCTCCCAAAGAGTTTTTAAATTTTCAATAATTTTTTTTGGGGGGGGCACTAAAAGTGCATTGTTGTGGGTTTTTATAAAAAATAAAAAGAATGTAAGAAAATGTTTTGGTTGATGGGATCATAAGTGCAACCCTCTGGGATGCAGGCATGGGTGTGTGTGCAGCCCCGAGGGCTTCTGGAGATTGCCCACCCCTCCTTTCAAATAATAATTTCCACTCTTTGTATGCACAACATTCTTGATCAACAGACATCAACAACATGTGAAAACAACAGTTAACCACAAATTCTAGGAATGCAAACAAACGCAAGGTGTTTGCTACAATATTTTTCTCTAAAAGGTCCTTCAGATATTGGCCTTCACATAAAGGCAAAGAGAGACATAATTCTACGTGAGAAAACTAACATATCAGGAAGAAATGGGGTTAGAATCTCCACTCTTGACTTTCAGTTGTCTGACAACCTACGGACATTAAATGTGGTTTCACAGCCTGTCTGATCTCCGTGGGCAAAACTCAACAATAAAGTCATTTCAACAACCAGAAATTCTGTTTCTGGGCTCCCCCACAAACACCTGCTTGGCCACTGTGTGAATCACAGATTGGACCGGATAGACTTTTGGTCTGATCCAGTGGGGCTCCTCTTGTGGGGTAAATGATTAAACACATAGAGGTAGACAATGACCAGGATTTTTTGGGGGGAGGGAAGGTCAAGATTGCAGTCATCTTTTGAGTTAATTAATTATAATTATTGCAACTATTCCCTGGCTACTGTTAGCACTCCTGGATAAAATGATACTGTATTTATTTTCCCCCATATGAGATAACAGTGGTTTGTAGGGGAGAGTTTAAATGGCAAAACATTTTTGAGCAGTGTTGGTTGTATTGAACAAAGTCCAGGCGTCTCATGATGAGTTTTCTGTGCCACGTCTGCTGTGCCCAGTTTTAACTGTGCGTTGTGCATCATCTTTGGATGTCAGAAGGCACCCTTGTCTTCGTGACTGCCTTTGAAGGTTGTTCGTACCTTCTCAGACGCTGCCCCAGTTTCGTGATGACAGTCATAGGTTTTGGCAGGTCCTCTGGAAGGAAAACTGTGTGATACAGGAAGACATGCCTCCTATCAGTGACTCCCCCTTGCCACTCTGAATAGCTGGTGTCAGAGAGATTCAATGTTAAAACACATTGCCAAGATTCTTTTTTGTTCTTTCTTTTTTAAAAGATTGCCTTAAAGATACCACCCAATCAGAGAAACCATAGAGTTGGGCTTTAATTGCAGCCAAACGAGGTGGTAGCATGCGTTTTGCCCTTTCAGATCACTGATTTAAGATCTCCAGTCACCTCTCTTGGGAAGTTGTTGAGACACAATGCAGTAAAGTGGTTCAGATATTGGGCTGTTGGGTATACAAATTCAGGGCCTGAATGTTCAAGTTCCCATTTAGCCAGAAAAACACATGGAGTGACTCTGAGTCAGCCTCTCTCTTATTCTTGCTCTCAGTCTGACTTGCCTCACAGGGTTATTGTGAAAGTAACGCAGGGAAGAGGAGTCATCTCTGTGTTCTCGAGTTTTGAATTTCTGGTAAAATTCCTTTTACTGCACAGCAGAAGCACCGAGATTCACAGAGGAGAATAGCTACAAGTTCCCCAGATAGTCCACTCCTTTCTCATTAACTGGCACTACAGGTCTCAATAACTCACTCTTGAGACATTGGTAGGAGAAAGAATAAACATATTTCACTACTCACAATTGTGAGCATAACAACAACAAACTAGCAAACACGGACTTCCAATAGACTGAAAAGTGAGAGAGAGAAAAAATCTCAGCAGAGAGGTGAGGCTGTCTTTGAACTCCGAGGCAGGAGGGAATGCTTGATTAGCACTAGACAGGTTCGAAATCACGTTAGCCCAGAAAAATCCCTCCTAGTCACTTAAACCACAGGCAGCCTGTAAGGTTGTAAAAACTCCCAACGATATGCTTCCTTGAACTCACTGGAGGAAAAAATTAATAGTGTTACATCGAGTTGATTCTGATGTACGATGGCCATCCTGGAGTTTTCTTGGTCAGAGGTCCCCAACCCCTGGTCTGCAGTCTGGTGGCGGTCCATGGCCTGAGCTGGATGGGGCGACGGAAACATACCTCCCACTCACCCCATATGCATTCACCCCAGTACAGGTCCTTTGCGTATGCATGCATGCACCAGCAGCCACGCGGGTGCTCCCCCACCCCTTTGCACATGTGCATGAATGCCTGTGCAAGAGCGCACATGCACTGGAGCGCACGTGCACAGAGGTGCCATGCCTTCCCTAACCAGCCCGTGGGGCTAAAAAGGTTGGGGACCCCTGTTCTAGGTAACAAGCACTCAGAAATGGGTTGGCCAGTGCCTCCTTCTAGGATTCTGCCACTTTTTCAAGTAGCAGAGCACTTAGTGCAATCAGCTACACACCGTTAGGGGGCTTGGTTGGCTTCTCTCACTGGAGGCACAGTGGGGATTTGAACGTCCATGAACTGCCAGCTTCATGGCCAGGTGCTCCAAGCCAGGATATAAAGGTAGGTAACTACTTAAAAAACCAACGACAACAAAAGATAATTACATTCTTAGGGTCTTCAGCAGTAAAATAAAAGCAAAGATGGTGTTTTCCAAAAGGAAGGCACAATGTAGCTTCCTAAAGAATAAGGCTTGAGTTGAGAACCAGTGCTTTGGGGTGTATTTTCTCCTGAAACGTTGACCCAGCCATTGGTATGCAGAGCTTGCAAGTGTTATGCGTTTCGACTAGAGTGTCTCCCAGCCAGCGTGCAGATTTGGGACAGACGTGGGTGTTCTGATGACAGCTTCGCTAGTGGCTGGAATAGTGGTGTGCTGTTATGACATGAGCAAAATTGGTCAGAGGAGCCGCCAGCTCTCCTTCCAGACTCGTCAGTGGCCATCTTGGCTTGTCCGAGGTTAGGGCATTGCTGGAACTGGCAGGCAAAGGAAGGTATCGGACAGATCCTTGTGCCAGCCGCAGAAAGGTAAAACTACTTCTTGGAGTGACTTTGCCCACGGTCATCTGGACACTCCACCAGACCATCTCAGGCAAGGCTCCTCCAAGCGGCCACTCCGAGGGAGGCCAAGAAATCTATGAGAAATAAGGCCTTTTTTGTGGTGGCATCTTTACTCTAGAACCAGCTCCCAGTGGAGCTGTGCCTGGCCCCCTCCCTCCCAACATTTAAGAGGCTTCTAAAAACATTGTTGCTTGGAAGAAACCCTCTGTTATGACATCCCTGTCTGATTTTCTGTCTGATTTTAGATTTTTTCCATCTTATCTGATAACTGATTCTCAGCCTCTTGCACTATGTTTTATAGTCTCTTGATTTTATTTATATAGGACCCCTATTGTTGCAGAGTTTTGTTTTATTTTGCTGTAAACTACCTAGAATAAGGTGCTGAATTAGATAGATAGATAGATAGATAGATAGATAGATAGATAGATAGATAGATAGATAGATAGATAGATAGATAGATAGATAGATAGATAGATAGATAGATAGATAGATAGATAGATAGATAGATAGAGATGGTGCAACTGGGGGTTGAGCAACCTTGATGCCCTAATGGACTCTGCTCCAGTGTTTCCAAACTCTGCTGAAATGGTCACAAATTTGAGATGGTTGTCTTTTGAAAGGGCAGACACTAGCCGTGGTGTTTCCTGCCTGGAGGTATTCTGGCCTCTGACCTTCTAGGATTGTCTGTGTAAGAAGCAGCACTACGAGTCGAGCCCACAAGCTGAGAGATAGCTGGAGCAGCTGCGTGTGAACGGGTTCTACCCAGACCCCTCCTGTGTCAGGAAGTAGGCTGTTCTGTACTTAACCTCAGCTTCAGCTTCTGAACCACACAGAA